GCCCGAAGGACATAAAATTTTCAATTTTTGATACAAAAATAGGTGGTGGTTCTGGATCTGAAAATGTTTTTGGCTCCTGAGTTTTATTTGATGAAATATTGGTAGTAACAGAATTACTGGTTGAGGTGGAATGGTGGAACTGTTTCTAATTTGTTGGCTGCAGTGGTTTTACTGCGGGTGTTTTGTGTAGATTTGCTATTTTCAGATATTTTTTTTGATTTGGTAGCTTTATTTTTTTTCTTAGTAGGTGAGTTACCCGCCGAACCAGGGGCAGAATTTCTATTGCGCTTTTGGAGTGTTCTTCTTTTTAAATATTGCGAATCTGTCTCGCTTATTTCGGAAAATGGTGTCTCTTCCTCCGATTCATCACCTGACGTATTAACAAGATCCATGATAACAAAATAATTAAAAGTCTATAAAAGTTATAATGGAATTAAAATGGAAATAAAAGAAATTAATTCTTAAAACTAAGTTATTTACAAAAATATTTACAGGTAAAATAAAACATTTCTCAATGTACATAAATAAATAAAACTAAAAGTCTCAAATAAAAATAATTGAAAAAAAAAAAAAAAAAAAAGTTCTTAGATACGAACTCGATATCACTCGAAGGAAGGAATGTTGGTACCAGGCGTTGACCGTGAATCTATCTTGATATGATAAGACCCGTAAAGGGAATTATCGGCCAGCTGAGCTGTTTCTACCGAACGTATATCAATTAAATAGTCAACATAATTTTAATAAATGTCTTCCACCTCAATATTTTAATGTGGAAATGTTCAAATGTACAAAAGCACACTATTCACACTGTATAGCAGCAGAAATTGAAGCATTAACCTGATGAAAAGGAAACAACGACAGAGCGATGCAAGCATACGACTGTAATTGCGGCCATGACACTTGGTAATCATGATTTAATCGTCAATTGTTATCCTTCTGATTTGGCATAGGATTAAGCTTAAAGGATTCCATATTAGCATTTTCTGTTAACCGTTTATCTAGGAATATATAATAGCAAATTATTTTCAAAATCTAATTACACTGTTGATTTAATGGATTCTAATTTAGAAATTAATTTCTTCCGTTCTCAGAGTTTGGGATATCTGACCGACCAATCAATAAGTCTCATAAAGCCTTTGAACCTGTAAAGTCTAATTATTTCAAAGCTGGCCCATCTAATAATAAATTTGTTCAGCGTAATTATATTGTCAGATAAAACGCTTCTTTATCTTGAAAACATTTTATCTCTCAAGAAGAGGTTCCCACTAATTTTAATGGAACGTGTTCTCTTATGTGAAAACTCATCCTCACCCCAATTGGTTGGCTGAGGTCTCATGGACATTGCTGCCATACAGAGACTAAGTAGAAAAAAACATGTATTGTGTGTTTTATAGAATATAAATTGTGAAGTATGCCACAAGAAAATGATATAATCCAAAAATTGAAGCATCCATAAATAAAACTGCAGTTTGTCAATGAATTGATAAAAATAAGATATGCACATAAACTAATCTGAAGGCTTAGACCAGGTTTAGGTACAAGTAAGGAAACAATTGGGATTGAAAATGAAATACTTGAACTTTAGGGAAAAAAAATTAACCTTTATTTGATTGAGAACATCAACCGGTTAAAAAATGTCGACATTTCACGTCGTCGCGGCAGCCATGTGATCTTTAAGCGTACTTAAAAACTCACTGAGCACACTAAAAAAACTCACTTATCTTGTCCGTTATGAGCCTTCAGGCACTAACTAAAACATATAACATCATTACATGGTATTATATTTTGTAATTTTTCAAGATTAAAATCAAACCACAGCATATTATATCAATAAACCGATGCATAGAGGCAGTTTGTGCAAACTACGACAAATAAATTGTTAGGACACCTCTTGTTACCACTAATAACCAAATAATGTAATAAAGTAGTAAACTCAACTACGGACAAGGCCTTGTCAAATTCACTTTACCAGGACATCTCTGCCAATTGTTATTCGCGTTGCTCGGAGCTCTTTTTCTATTTAGCACTTGAGATAGAGGAACTGTCCTCCGCTTTTACTTCTTTTTAAGAGTTATGGAGGTCGATCCTTTCCTTTGTATAACCAAAGTCTGGGGCTAATTCCCACCCTTATGCTAAATATCTAAGAATGTTAAGCCAGAAGGTTGATTCCATCAGTCGTGGTAACGTCTGAAGTTAAGCTTCTTGATCGGTTTGAAAAAAAGGAGGATGTCCCCCGACACACCCAACACTCCCGATACCCCTTCTCCAGATCTTATTTTCACGCTATTCCATAATGAAGATACACACAATGTCAAGACATTTAATGTATCAAAAATCTCATAACTCAAAAGCATATCCAACAAATGACGAAGCAGTGTAGGAATAAGCGGAAAATCAGAAAAATCACTATAACATAAATAAAAAAATCTGGTGCGCGCAACACACCACTTTCAATTACCGCTCTACACGAATATAAATTATTTTCTGGCAATGTTGGGCTATTATAAAACTTTAGAAGTGCATTTCTAACCAAACTAAAGTTTAAAGCTTACTGTTAACAATCATTGATACCATTAAAATAACAACAATCCTATTTATTATATGGACGGTTGATTATGGATTGTACGATTATTAATTACTATACTACTTTTTTCAATTGCAAAGTTTATTAAAACGGAACTACGACATTTACATTGTCTGCCAATGATAGGTCAAACGTTTTCACACTGATTGTAACTGGATACTGTTGAGATATCACAAAGGGAAAATTCATCAAATTGTTCACTAATCTAATTTTATAAAAGTTTAAATGATGATTTTTCGGAATAGACGGACAATAGATACCTAATTATTTAAATATAATATCAGATCTTGAGTTATTAAACTACAGTAAATGTATTTAAGGCTACATATTCATGAAATATTTTTATATTTCACTTTTTTTTTCACACAAGTACAACGAAATAGTATTTTAAGCGATGTCATTGCCTTGATTCGGTGGCTTTTAAATACTTTTTCAAATTTTTAAAAAAATTTAAACATTTATATTTAGTAAGAAAATTCCATTTAATTTCCTTGGAAAGATGTGATTTACGTTAAATAATGTTAGTTTTCAGAAATTTTTATTTATATTTTTTCGTTTCACTCCGTTATCTTCTACAACTTCATTTAATAGATATATTTTTTTTTTATACGTATATCTTCTGACTATTATTTCCGGAGATTCATTTTCGGCCTGGATAAGCATTTTTATTTTTTTCTGCTTTAATAAATTATCAAATTCTTTGAAAAGTTATATTTAGCCACTTTTAACAGTAACTTTCAATAAGAGAGAGTTATTTCTTAAAAACAAAAAAAATTAAAAGGTACTTTAGAGTAAGATATACATGAACATTGAGCATTTAACTCATGTACAGTGATATCAATGTGGATAAGACCTAACTGATATTAAAAACAACTTAATAATACACTGATATACCGAGTTTAATCAAAATCGTTAGAACCGTTTTCGAGAAAATCATAAAAATGTGTAACCGTTGATATAAAGTGGCACTTCCGGTCAGCCGATTTTAACGGAAAGTTGCTGTCACATCGGAACCTTGAACAAATCTAAAATAAGAAATTTAAATTTCGTATGACTTTTCGTTCTTGAGCTAGGCTGACCACACACACAGACCATTTGGCGGGACTTGGTTATTTCGACTAATGGGACCTCAAAACATGTATTTCCGTTAAAAACTGAGTTCGAAAATTTTCACAATCGCAATACTTTCCTTTACTATACATTACATTTACACGTAACTGAAAGTAAAAAGAGTTACTAAGGAAGCATCTGGAAAAAAGAAAAAGAAAAAAAAATGGACAAATGAAGCACAAAAATTCTATTAGTTTTTAAATACGGGAAGGGAGAAACTTTACCCACGAAGAAGTGTTTATTTGCAAACAAGTCTCTCAACTATGATGGCAACCTAAAATCAGACACTCCAAGAATTCTGCTAGATGGAGATAACACGGGAACAGGATTTCAATGATCCTCGGCATTGTGGATGGAAGATAATGGTATAATTTAAGGAGCTCTGAGATCAGTAAAACAGCATTCCTGGAGCTCCAAAAGACTGCTGCAAAATTAAATTACAATTTAATGAGAACAGCCCTCATGAAGATAATTCTCATGTACATATTGGGCAAGTGGATGATTTATCTATAGATCGATTTCCCCAAACGACATAGCCGTGTGCACTGAAGGATTATCTCCGCTACCTATCATTGTGGTCTATTTGGACATTTTTAGAGTAGAGTAGAATTGGAAATACATAGTACATAGATAAGAAACTAATATGCTGAGGATATAAACAGGACACTAATATGCTCAGGGTCGTCCTCAAATATGCTGCGTTATACTGGAAAATAACCAGTAACTAGCTGTGGTTAGATTTGAGGCTGATCCTAGCATAAAATCCTTTCAGCTGAGTTGAACACGTAAGAATGTTCATATAAAGCTATCCATATAGACCGAGCTTACGGTGGGCGGATGGTGTTTCTAAAGATAAATGATCCATCCTTGGAATCAGGCACTGGAAAGGAGCTCTGGAGAAGATGAGTTAGTGCTGGCCTCTTCATTTTCATAGAAGTCAACTGAGCGTTTGCCCGGAGCGCCAGTTTTTGGGTGGCGTTTGGTGCGAAAAAAAAAAGTACACAAAATTTGAGGGATGGAAAATTAATATTTTTAACATACAGTTATTGAGACAGCACTAATGATTAAATTTTTAAAAATAAATGTCAATTTTTTCATTTCAATTGACAACAAGAAAGACTTGTAATATTGCTACGCTTCCCGCAGAGTACTGCGATCGACAGAGCAAATGCAGAGTATTAGACATAGAGGAGTGCTGTAACCTTTAGTTAACATGAATTTAGTAATGTTCACAAGGCTTATCTTTAGTTAATTTAAGTAATTAAAATCCAATTAAATAGTTTAGTGAATTATAAATTTAACTTACCAACGCAAGAATAACCATCATGGTGTAGAATAAATCCTTGTTTACAATCACACTCAAACATTCCATCGTGGAGCTCATAACATAATTGTTCACAAGGACTTTCGTGCCCACAACGTCCTGTCAAAACAAAACAAATAAAAATGAGTAAATACATCTCACATTTTTAAGGTATGATAAAAATAAAAGATTAATTGAATTATTCCCGACAGTTAAAATAAGCAATAACAAAAATCCGTACGATTATTCCGAATAATGTAGTACTAAAAATGTTATATTGACGCTCAATTGAGCTGACGAGGAGGGGAGGGGTGCTGTACCCATTGTACTGGGATCCAGGTGTTCAAGGGGGCCTGTAAAAATAATAGGGTTTTACAATTACTGGTTTATAGATTGTTACAAATTGAAACATTAAATAGAAAAGAAAAATGGTAGGGGTGATCTATAAAAAAAATAAATAAATAAATGAATTATATTTATTTTTATTTTTGCTGACGTTTCGGCCCAAAGTTCAGGTCTTCATCAGGGCTAAGAAAAAAAACAGATAACAATAGGTATGAGCAACTATTAACATTAAAAAGGAAAAATAATATGTAGGTGAAAGGTATAGCCTAAAAAATGTAGGTAGAATAAACATATATTGTCTACACTTACGTTTTTCATCTTATACGTTCCATCAGGGGCGCCTAGAGGGGGGTTTTATGACTCAATTTGCGCCATCAGAATTTTCGAGAGAGTCATCTTAAGTTTTCAATTTTAAGGGAACTTTTAAACCAGGAAATAAAGAAAAAAAATCTTCGCGCAGAACACAACTTTCACTTACCGCTCAGCTTTGAACACCATTAAAATAACAAAAGTTTTATTTATTATATCATCAGTTGATTATGGATTGTACGATCTGTTGATTATGGATTCCACGATCAGTTGATTATGGATTGCACGACTATTGATTATTAAACTGTTATTTTCCATTGCAAAGTTTATTAAAACGGAATTAAGAGATTTTCATTTTCTATCATGGACAGGTCAAAAGTTGTCACACTAATTGTAAGTGGATACTGTTGGAATATCACAAAAGGAAATTTCATCAAACTATTCACTAATTTAATTTTCTAAATGGTTACATGATGATTTTTTGGAATAAACGGACGATAGATACCTCAATATTTAAATATAATATCAGATCTAGAGTTGTTAAACTGCAGTAAATATATTTAAGGTTATTAAGGTATCTATGAAATATTTTTATATTTCACTTCTTCTTTCTCACAAGTACAATAACATATTAGTGGATACTGTTGTAATATCACAAAGGAAAGATTCATCAAATTATTAACTAATTTAATTTTCTAAAAAGTTACATGAGAATATTTCGGAATAAACGGACGTTGATAATTAATTATTTAAATATAATATCAGATCTAGAATTATTAAACTACAGTAAATATAATAGAGTTAATCAACATATCCATGAAATGTTTTTATATTTCACTTCTTCGTTCGCACAAGTACAATACAATAGTATTTTAAAATAAGCATTTTAAAATAGTATTTTTAAAAAAAGTATATATTATATATATATATATATATATATATATATATATATATATATACAGGCAATCAATTAGGGATGATTTAATTACGAAAAGGAAAGTGAAGAGGGATTTCTCCACACTGGATATCGGTTGGCAGGAAAATGACTGCCACCGAATTTATCTGGGTGAAGAAATGACTCGCACAAACAGACACCTCTAATGGCTAGCCCGGCAGAAGAGAGCGGCGGGAAAAACCAAATATACGTGGTTTGCTTCCGAAAAGGTGCGGTGTCGAAAAGAGGACGGACATAGAGTTATCCTGATTGAACAGGCCTCGGATCTAGATGTATTTGACTGACTATCTAGAAGCCGTCAACCCCTTAGCCTCATTAAAATAGTCTTACTTCTTCTCTTACTGCTATCTCTACACGGTCACTCACCAATCTATTCATTTTTAAGTACATTCTCTTTATTTATTTTTAATGTATACACTTTTTCTTCACTTAGTTTCATGTACTATAATCGCTTTTATGTGCTTTCTATTCGTTTTGACTTCTCGCTACCAAACACTGACTGTTTCTCTCCAAATCCACTGTATGTCTAGTTTCCTAATCACATGTCAGGTTAACTCTCAATTCCTTTCTGCCCATTATGACGAATTCCTGCAATACTTTACCCAAAACTTTGATCATATCATAGCAATATCCGAAACCTGGCTCAAACCCAAGCCAGACTGGAATAGACTTCTATTCCATCATCTTCAGTTTCCTTGCCTAATTGCATCCTGCTCCGTCATGACTGGGTAAACCGGACTGGCAGTGGAGTAGCCATGTTTGTCCACAATAGCCTAAAGACCCGAATCCTCGATTGCTCCCCACCTTCAGATCACCCTCATGTAGAATACCTCTTGGTAGAAATTCTCAGTTATACTTCTCCTATCCTTTACGCCGTGGTATATCGCCCTCCTCTCGTGCCATTTGAGCCGTCCTTCGAATCAACCCTATTCAACTTCGTTCCCCTCTATCCCAGAATAATTATCTCCGGTGACCTTAATACCAATTTCCTTTCAAACTCCAATGACAAATCCTATTTAGAAAATCTGTTTTTCTCACTTCACCTATTCACCGTTCCTTTTTCCTCCACCCACCACACTAGCAGATTTGACACTTGGCTAGACTTCTACATCATCGACTCAGCATAAAACCTCCTCTCCGCCTCTCAATTGCCAGTATCCTTTCTTTCATCTCACGATCTGATACAAATAACGTATAATATCCGCACTACTCCAATCCATCCTTGAACTATCACTTTCCGCCAACTGGATACCCTCATTGGATTTGAATGGAATATATTATTGCTCCTCCGTCGACACCATGGTTGATATTCTCACCACTAATCTTCTAAATATATTCAATACCTACGCTCTTCTCAAAACCACTACCTTTCGTCATCGCCCTTTTGCCCTGCTCCTGGGATATGTCAGGAAATTAAGGATCTGCAGAAGAGACGCGACGCAGCACGCAGACGCTTAAGACGGACTAGGCTTGCAGATGATTATCAATCATTCAGAGTGCTTCGTAACACGACACAGACAAGGATCCGACAAGCGAAAGCAAACTACTTTCATGAAGCCCTTTCCTCAGCTCCTGATTTCAAATCAAAATGGCTTCTACTTCGTAAGCTTTCCCTCTGTGAACCTTCTAGATCCTCTTCCTCAGTTTTCCCAATATCACCTGATGACCTAAACTCCTACTTTATATCGGTTTTCACCTCTTCTTTATCCTACCCTTCCGGCTTTTCTCCAGAGGCATCTTTTAACGACAATAATTTTTATTTTTCTGACATTTCTCCCACAGACCTTATTACCGTTATAATGAAATCCCGTTCCAATCCCGTAGGCCCAGATGGCATTCCTATCAAACTAATAAAATTATGTCTCCCTGAAATCCTCCCAGCTCTCCTTTTCATCTACAATTTCTCCCTGCAGAATTCAATATTCCCGACCTCTTGGAAAAAATCCATTGTCCTTCCTTTAAACAAAAAGCCTAATCCATCCTCTCCCGAAGATTTCCGCCCAATATCAATTCCTTCCAATCTTTCGAAACCCCTAGAAAGGTTAGTGCAATCCCAAGTTTCCAATTTCCTTGAACAATCCAACCAACTCGATCCTCTCCAATCTGGCTTCCGTCCTGGCTACTCTACAAAATCTGCTCTGAATAAAATTACCTGTGATATTCAGACTGCAATAGATGACAAAAAACTAACTATACTTATACTTCTTGATTTCTCCAAAGCTTTCGATTCCATTATCCATTCCATCCTTTTCAACTAACTAAAATCATTATCCTTCTCCAATAGTTCCATCTCTTGGTTCCAGTATTTCCTCTCACAACGAACCCAAGCAGTTTCCATACCTAATCAACCTCTATCTGCCTACCTTCCTTTATCTTCTGGAGTTGCACAGGGTTCAAGTATGTCTCCTCTCCTTTTCAGCTGTTATATGAATGACCTAAATGATTCAATCGTCCATTGTTCCCACCACCTTTATGCCGACGATTCTCAAATCTATTTATCCTTTTCTTCCGCTGAGTTATTGGTGGCGTTTGCCAAAATTCAAGAAGATTTAGATCAAATTAGTGCCTGGGCCAACTTAAATGGATTAAGGCTAAATGCTGCCAACACTCAGGCCATTCTCATTGGTTCCAAGCCCCTTCTTAGATCCCACACCAACTTTCCCTCACTCTATCTAAACAACCACCCCATCACCTTCTATCCCTTTGTTAAAAATTTAGGCTTTTTCATAGATCAAACCCTTTTCTGGAATCACCATATCTCTCATATCTCCCGCCGTGAAATTTCTACCCTCAAACTATTCCATCACTTCCGCCATCTTCTACCCCAAAATACCCGTAGACTCCTAGTTTCCTCTTTCATCTTTCCCCACTTTGACTACAGTTGTGTGGTGTACGATGGCCTCTCGGTGGAACTTCGTGACAGACTCAAAAGACTTATGAATAGCTTCGTAAGATTTGTAATCATTGGGACTCCGAGATGCTCCCGTGTCTCCCACCACTACACTGAGTTAGGGTGGCTCTTCCCCACCTTAAGAAGACAATATTTCCTAGGCACTTTAATTTATCAAGTCATTACCGATCATCGTTCTTCTTATGCCTACAATCTTCTCCAATTTAAGTCCTCGATCCATTCCCTCACTACAAGATCTCGACCCTCTGACCTATACATCCCTTCTCATAGATCTGCTTCATTCCAAAACTTCTTTATAGCCCGCTCTGTCAACTTTTGGAATTCCCTCCCGATCAAAATTCGACATGCCCCTTCCCTATACACATTCAAAAACCTCCTATTCCAATTCCCGTTCCTGTTCCAAAAACAGTCAGATACTAGCTAACTATTAATATTATATATGTATTGTGTAGCAATCATATAATCATAATACTTGGTAAGAGATAGTACATGCATTTCCTACTATCGATGTAGGAATTTCAATGCATACATTTTTTTTTTTTTATTCAATTATAATTAACTGTTTATTTATATATATATATATATATATATAT